AAAAAAAAAAAAAAAACACTGCAAAAAAAAAAAAGAAAGAAAAGAAAAGAAAAGAAAAGGGAGGACAGAGTTAATGAGTGAGAATTCACACAGGAAAACAGTACAGACTATCTCCCAAGAGGTTTCTGAGGAGGACTAGGCAAAAGAGAACACTAGTTTAATAGGACCCAACATTCCCTAGAACCTATGAGGTGTGAGTTGTGTTTTATATCAAGACTCAATTAACGAATAGCTAATTATAAGTAAGGTGGTAGTGGTCATGTGACATCTTGCCAAGTCCAAGGCAGAAATCAAACACACTCGACCATAAAGTTGAAAAGGGGGGAGGGAGTCACTCAAAAAAAGTTCTTCCATTTTTCACCTTTGTGTGTGGAGGGTTAATAACTAGATTATAAATTAGATCAGCCAGTCACTGAGATCCTTGACTCATGCTATCACTTGTCATCTCCATCTCGCAATATCAGCACAAAAGCCAAAACAAATTTTGTGAAGTCCCAGCTCTAAGTATGCCAAACACCCTCAACTGAAGAATTCCTTGGCTTACAGGGGTTACAAATTTTTTAATTTTAGGGCAAACACAGGGAATCTGTATGCCCTTCAAATTGAAAATCTACTTGTTCCTCTGGAGAAAAGTAGTTTAAAAGTATAATTCTCACTTAGAGAAGAAAACACTGTTATTATCCAAAGCTTCCTATAGTTCTAGAGCAACCATAATTAGTTTTAGTATTTTAATATTTTTTATCTTTAATGTTTACCTATATTATACTGCTATTGGTCTCAGCACAGAAAAGGTATAGGCTATTTTCTCCGCCACTTTTTAAAGAACGCTTAAAAGGAATGATAAGTATCTTCCTTGTGGAAGTATTTTCTGCTGCTAAGCCCCCAACAAATACAGAAAAAGGGAAGAGCTGTTCTGCGTCCAGTCACCCTATTCTCCTCTTTTGAAACGTCTATTTTCAACTATCATCTAGTAGGACAGTAAATGAATACAAATACAATAAATACAAACTCCACTACTAAATTTACTGCACATAGGTAACAATATATCAACATAAACTAACACCTACGGCCAAATAACTGATTTCGACCAATTTATCCTTAGCACTTAAAAAAGCCCTGAAATGCTTACTTTAATTTCAACTTGCTCTTCCATTTCTTTAGTTTTTATTGTAGTATATTCCTTTTCAAGCCTAAGAGGGAAAAAAAAAGAGTTAAAGATACATTTTCATTAAAAACTAGTTACTAAATTGTAAAATTTAAAAATATATGTGAACTTAAAATATAATTTCTTTAGTTTCCCCCAGCTTACAAACTGAGATATCTGATACAAGAAAAATGACCTAACGCGTTACATGGTTCTTACGAAAAATAGTTTTACAGATAAAAACAACATAAGCATAAAGTTTAGAAAGTAAAATAGGCTCAGCGCCTATAGCTCAACCGGCTAAGGCGCCAGCCACGTACACCTAAGGTGGCGGGTTCGAATCCCCAGCCCGGACCCGCCAAACAAC